TGAGATGTCAAAAATACCCTTTGAAGTGACATAAATGAGATCCTGGAAGGGATTTTGATATTTTGAGCCTTTCTTAGAATGGTCCCCAAAGTAGCCACTCATTTTTTTTTTCAAAGGGTGCCGACGATTGTCGATATTTCGACATCAAAAACACGTTGTTAAGCCGGATTTGACCGAAATCAAAATTTGCGTCTTGGTATAGTTTATAATGGAATCAAAGCAGGAATTTAGCGAGGTGCATGTTATTAGAAAAATCTATAAAATTCTAGTAAAGAATTTGTTATAAGTGTAGTTACAAGGCGGATTTCGTTATGAGAGACCACTCGGACAAAGGTAAGTGATCGTTAAATTGAAAAAAGCACGATTTGTACAACATTTGAAATGTCCTTTAACCTTCCCTTCCTCTTCAAATTTGTCCTTTAGTAACATCTTGAGGGTAGGGAAACAGCCGTCTCTTGTAGGAACATTTAGATAAATTCTTTCTCGACAAAACAAAAGAAGAAGAAATGTGATCGCTCAATTGTGATTCTATTTGTTGTCTTGGATCTTGGATTTTTCGACTTTATCTGATAAAAGGAACAATTTATAACATCAATTGCATATACATTCACAAAATGGGATGATTTATGAATGCAACCACATTTATTTCTGAGTATTTATCGCTGCAGAGCTGCTAACTCGTGTAGGATCCTTGTTTTCTGGGACCACCTTTCCTCTACCGTATCGCGACAACATATAATTGACTCCTGTTATTCCAACAAAGTTGTTCCTGAAACGAATAGCGCTATGCTTATATAAATTAAATATGCTCATTTAATGATCAAACATCCGGTTTGTACCTACATCTTCATTAAAAATATTCTCTCACCTATAAGGTACTGTAGTACATATCATCGAAACTGTTGCATTGAAAGATTTAAGTGAAAAAAGTAATGTGGCGCATGTCCCATAGTCTGGAATAGTAGGTATAACAGAAATATTGAAATCTAAAAATGGGAAGAACTGTACGAGAGATGAATGTTATCGAGGATGGAGGGAAAAGAACTATATGGGAGAGTATGATCATGGGCACTATAGTAGACGACAATACTGCAACACTCTAAAAGACAACTATGCTCGTTGAAGAACCGTTGAAACATCAGAAAATAACAACAGCCTCGTCAATAGCATTGTCTTACCTGAATAACGAGGCCAGTGATAGCACTACGATGCATATCTCGAGATGATTGACTGAATTTGGCATGGTCCTTCAGGATGTTTGATGTGTGTTTGATTATGAAGGTAATTCCGACAAAAGCAATAAGTGATCCGAGTAAGTTGAGGCCAATCCAGAAATATGTTGTTGGACCACCAGCCATTGCAAAACTTGCATCGAGTTCGAGTGAGGAAAAATTGGACTAAATTTCTGATCCTTTAAAGAAGGCACTTACATCAGTAAGAAACATTCAAGACTACATCACTATAACTTAAAATACAAAAATCCCAACAAATTCGTGAGATCGATAAGATTTGACAGAGATTTTAGAAATGCGTTCATATTTTTCTTTTGTCCCAAATAATGTATAATTTGGTGTTAATCCTCTAGTCATGAAGTACGGTAGGACTACGGTAGGTGTTCAGTCATCTCAATGTCGCAGTAAAATATAGTATGAAGCAGAACTGTTGAGCTCAAAGCGCAAATGGAAGAATCACGTAACCTGGATAACCAGCTCGCTTCTCTTAATTCCACCCTCAAGGAATTTGCAGAAGTAAAAAGAGCTATTTCGCGAGCACTATTTGGAATTAAGCCACGTTGTCGAACAAAAGTTTTCCAAAAAAAAAACTACCTTTAAGATTTCAAGAAAGCTTTCTTCATTATCCTTGAATGCCCAGATTGATAGCGGAGTACAAAGAAGAATACTATTTATAGTACTTCCAATTATCATCGTGATCATTGTCCGTGAAGAGAAAGCATACGGTGAGTTGAAAAGGCAAAGTTTGTAACGGTACAAATAGGCATCAAAAAATGCACAATCCACAAGACAATGCAGCACGGTGGAGAAGCCATGAAATCGTATTTACTAAGTGGAATATTTGCAGGAAATTTACTGAAAATACTCACAAAAATGTATTTTGAAGGTAACCCAGTGAACTTCCAAATCAAACCACCGAATTTCAACCCAAGGATAGGAAGCACATGTATCGGTGCCATTAATACTGTCCAGTAGATTGTTTCCAAAAGAGCGCATATCTCGA